CCATTGACCACTACCCTCTGGATGTGACCATCCAGCCAATTTCTCCATCATGTCCAGTAGACGACCATATTAATTATAAGCAGTCATCTTCTGTCCTATTTGGATATGCAGCTGAGGGTGCCACTTCTTTGTGGAGCGATCAGGCTTCCAGTGAGACATGCAGTACCAGTACTAGAAATTATGTTGGAGGCATATGAACCAACAAATACTCCATTAAAATGAAGTTAAAGAGAGAAATGTGATAAAATCCAGTACAGTGCATTGCAATGTGGATTATATGAGAATAATATAATAGCCTTTTGAGAGCATTTTCAGACAAATAAAATGTAATGGCTCTCATCTGTCTGGACTTGAGTAAAGCACTTGAATCAGTGCCTTGTGAGAAAATATTAGAGAGGATGGAGGTTTAGAAAGGAATTGAGCATAGGTAAGAAATCGGCTATAGGAAAGAAGACAGTAGGTAATATTGAAAGAACAGTATTTGTTTGGGTTACCAATAGTTAATCTTGTTTAATATTTTCAGTACTGGTCATGATATGAGTAGAGCTATGATGAGACACAGTTGGAAGGTATTGCCTGTAAGAGAGAGGATTGTGACAGTATCTAAAAATGATTAAACTAATAGACATGGGAACCACTACGACAGTATAGAAATCAAGGTACCATACTTAGGTCACAACTGAGGCTTTTCATATTAGACTAGGATTTGAAAATTCCCAAGGGAAAGAAGGACTTGGGCTTTTTGATCATAAAATGGCAACGAGCAACCACATTGGATCACAAAAAAGAAAATGCAGTCTAGGATATGTCAGGATGAGTATTTACAGTATAAAATGGACAAAGTGTTACTGCCTTTGTAAAGGCAGTAGCAAAATGTTTTGACGATCATAGAAGATTTTGGTTGTCCATATTCAAGAAAGATTCAAACTGGGAGAGTTACAAAGAAACTGTAATGGTACTGAAAAAACAGTCTTGGGAGATTGAGTCTTGCTTATTGTTTATAGCAAAATAAAGCCTGTAAGAAGGTGAGGTGGCTGTTTACAGGGAAAAGCAGCACTGAGGAGTTAGGGAAATAATTTAAGTGTAAGGGCATTATTGTCACAGGATTGAACTAGTGCAAATGGGTCATAAATAAAATTAATCTGGAAATTGAGTATTGTAACTTAGTATTAGAGCAGTGAGGTTCTGAAAGATCCTCTGAAGCAATACAGTGGAAACAAAATACTTGCCTGCTTCTGAAAGGGAATTTAAGTTCCTGCATTACATGGTTCTGTGATAGCAAGGCTGCAAGTGATAAACCAGGCATGTTATCCTCTTCCGTGGTTCTAGCTCACAGGGTGAAGTCTGTCTTTCTGCAGGACCTACATATTTGCATAACTCTGGAGTCTCTGTGTCTTACCAAATTGGCTTGTATCCAAGTACTTAAAGTCAGTGGAGGGGAGTTAAGTTTAACATTCTTGACAGGAGACCAATCAGTGAAATAATGTTGCTTTTCACTCCTTTAATTTTAGATGTGGTGTGGGGTTTTTTGTAATGTGTATGATGGTATGATACTTGCTGAAAAATCAAGAAACTTTTCTAGAACTTTTTTTTTCCCTTGTCCTTCATCTTGCTGATCAGCTCATATGATATCCCATACGTGGTACAAAAAAAAAAAAAAAAAGCCTGCCCCTCGACAGCAAAAATGGCATTGCAGTGCAAAAACGGCATTGTAATGTGAAGTGAACGTGTTTTCTTTTTACTTTTTTAGAGCGGCCAGCCTTTGTAAACTACTTTTAAGTTAATGTAGCATCTGTATTCCTAATGTGTTTGTGTGTTTAGAAAATAATTTAATACGGTGTTTAACAGTGGTATTACAATTCATTTTTTATGTCTGTCTTGCAGCCTATTCGACACTTGAAATATTCATCCTTTAAGAAATCCTTGCTCGGCAGTGTTTCTGACAGTGGAAATGTGACTCTGTGGGATGTAAATAGCCAGAACCCATATCATAATTTTGAAAATACTCATAAAGCACCAGCTTCAGAAATCTGCTTTTCTCCAGTTAATAAGCTGCTGCTTGTAACTGTAGGTTTGGATAAAAGAATTATTCTCTATGACACTTCAAGTAAAAAGTGAGTATATTAAAGACTTTTTGGTTTTAGAAGGATCCTTATTTGGGTTTTATAAACTGAAAAAGCACGCCTGACTATGACATGAAATATTTAATCCAGACCGCATTCAGGATGGTTGAAGTGGTTGGCATATCGCTACTGCAGAACCTGTCCCATAGTCCTTTTTGCTTTTTTATTTAAAAAACAAACAAACAAACCAACCCAAACAAACAATCAAAAAAACCCAAGGCATGTGGGAACTAGTTGAGGTGCTACATAAGAGTGACCTCTCCCAAGTGCTGGTGCATGGGCTTTTCTTGTTAGCTTCTGTGAGGGGCAGTACCGCCTGTGAGGACCTGCAGCCACCTGAGCTTAGCTTGCCTGCTTTTTGAGTTCAAGATACAAGATGTAGCTGTGGTAAGGTGCAGAGTTGCTGAGATAGTGAGCCTTAAATACGGGAGGGTATTGGTTGAAAAAGCAGGAATTATGGGGCATAGGTGATGGGGCTGTGTAGTAAGAGGACAGGATGGCAAGTGGTTTCATGGGACTTTGGTTCCAGCGTGGGTTGTGCTTGCACTATAGCTGAATAAAAGCAGCAGCCTGGCTCTAATTTGGAAGGGGTGTAGTAGAAGGATGCAAACTAGGACCTGAAGAGGATGTATGTAGTATGATTGCTGCTGGAAATGATACTAGTAAATAATGTTGGTGTCAGAACTGCTGTTATGAGGGCAATTTGATCCTGTCCTGGTGAAATCTTTTGGGGCATATGCAGTCTTTAATTTGTTAAGCATGAACGCTTAGTATAAGCCTAATCCACTGTTCCGTAAGATATTTCACTGAATTTACGTGGCACTGGAGAAGTGGAACTACTGACCTGTAGCTGAATTATGAAAGCTTTTATATCTTTTTTTAGGTTCTCTGTTTTGAAAAGTCTAACTTTTGAACTCTAAAAGCTTCTTTATCCTGTCCTTTCTCCTGTTTGAAGATTACTGACAACAATAGTAGCTGATTTTCCTCTGACAACAGTAGACTTCATGCCTGATGGTACTACTTTGGCTATAGGATGTTCCCGGGGAAAAATCTGCCAGTATGACTTAAGACAACTGACATCACCAGTGAAAACAGCTATTGCTCACAAAGGCTGTGTGAAATGCATACGTATTCAGTTCAGTAGCACTTTTTCCAAGGTAAAAAAACTTTACTTTTTATTGCTTAATATGCAGATTAGTGAAAGCAAAGCATAAGTTTAACTTCTTAAAAAAATGTTAGCATTCAATTTCTAAGCATTATAGTTGCCAACAAAAGTGGTTCATACCAACATAGAAATTATAAACTGCTCAGTCTTAAGTGCCATTTTAGGGGGTTTTAATGTGGAATTCCCCCCACCCCTAGCTTTAGTGTAGAAATGAGTGAAACTTTAGTCTTAAATTTCCTGGTGTGAATGTGCTGCCATTGCAGATGAGTGCGGCACCTTAGGTTCATTTGTAGGTAGTAGCTGAAAGATCTGTAATGGCTGTTCCACTTAAGGGGAAGAGACACAGCTGCCCGTCATGAGGTAATTTGCATGGTCTTATATATGGTCTTGCGGGCACATATAAGCAGTGGAGAAGTTGATTAAACAATAGAGAAGGCTTAAGAGGTTCTTCCAAGACTTAATTAGGCTCTACTCTATCTAGAAACCCCATGTGTCCATTCAGCAGAGATGGAGAGAACCTTTGAAGCGGATTCTTTACCTCCCTGAGACTCCTCTTCTTCCAGCGTGCTTGCTGCTTGTCGTTGACTATTCCTTTACAAGTTGGAGTATATATTGTAATCTCTTATTTTTCCTATGCCTAAGTCTAGGATTAAAATTCACTTGTGCCAGGTTGCTTGATTGTTACATTAAGTTCTGTTGCTATTCTTTTGCAGGTCCACACAGTAAATAATAATACAGATGTTTCCCATGTTATTTGAAGTTACGTTAAGATACTTTTCTTTTTTAAATTTGTAAAGGCATATCTCCTAGGCAACCTTTGCACCTTGAACTGAATTTTTTTTAGTATTTTGAAACAGAAAGACTATTGGCTTATTTTTTTACTTTTAACTGAAAGAATAATAACTTGTCTTAATTTGTTCTATTTTTTTTCTTCAGTCTAACCTTACGGGTTCTTCAAATAAACCTGTATCCAAAAGAGTGGAAGTCAAAGCCAGTAGTAATCTTGGAGGAATTCAAAATACTGGCATCAAAAATGTTGCCTCTCAAGCATCAACAACAGTTTCATCTCATCTGACGTTGCCAAATGAGAATAAAGGAGGAGACATTCTTCAGGAGAAAACAGGTAGTGTCTTTTTCCTACTCTTATAATCGTATTTGGCATAATGTAGAAGATGGAAGGAATATTTCATGCCTTGACCATTACAGTATAAACATTTCACCAAGGGAAGGGCATTTGTTTGAAAGAACTGTGCATACATGCATGCACATCTGCACCTTCTTTTCCCTCCCCTCCTGCTTTAGACATACTATGAGACCATGGAAGGTGAATTGGGTCCTGCTACAAGCTTTATATATGTGAAGTCTAAAATTCTGGACTTGAAGCAAAAGTATGTATTTAAACTGTAAAGGAGAAAACTCCATGGTGATATCGTGGGTCTGTCTCTTGCATTCTGACTTGTAGATTATCCTTATGTACATAATGTATTTTCTGACACAACGTCTGTATGGAATGCTGAGCTAATGGTTTGTAATTCTATTAATTAACAGGAGTAACAGACCTCATCTAAAAAAACCCAACCAACCAAACAAAACACAGGGAAAAAAACCTAGTCCAAAAACCCAAGTGAGAACTGAACTGTGTTTTTCTATGAGGCATGATTCCAATATCACATGGTAGGAAAGATGTTAAATATAGTTGCAAGTATGATTAGTTGTATAACTGTACTTGCTATTTATGCTTCTGAAATTAACAAGTTCTTTTTAAGAATTCTGAGCATTATTCTAAAATTCTGCCACTGTGTAAAATGAACTCTTAAAATTTTATTTAATTCAAGAGTTCTGAAAATATGGTCAAATCAGTAACACTTAGTTTGATTCTTGAAAAAATCCTCAATCCATTTTAATGCAACAGCACTTCTTCCCTCCCTTTTTAAAAAATGGAGAAATACATTTGGCAACAGTAATTAGGCAATAAGCCACTGCAGTCCTTAGGGATGTGTATTAATGACCTCCCTTGGGTATGCAGTGAAGTACAAGGTGAAGTAGAATGCTGCCTATGTACGCAAGAAGCATTACTGAATGGTGAGGGAAACTTGATTTCAGTTCAAATATATGATTTATTATCTTTATTTGAAGATGTAATGGCTGTTACCCCTTAATTAGGATCATGCATAATAAAAAAATGTTTTAAGAAAATAAAGGCTTACCAAGCAAAGCAAGTATTTTTCGTTGAACGGAATGTTCACTTTAGAAGTAAAGACCTCTGTATGCTTCAGAAGATGCGGTCTTTAAACTTAAAAACGGGAATGGGTGAGAGACCACAAACTGCATTTGTTCTGTAGAAACTCTTCTAGACCCTGATTATGGAGTTTAACTTTGCAGAAATAAGGGGCATTCAGTAAAGTGGTCTGATACCACACTTAAAACAAAAAAACATCTGCTCGTACAGCTTATAAGTGGACTGGGGTTTTTTGTCACAGGTATTTTAAAGTACAAAAATATAAATGAAGTCAAAATGTGATAAGACGTTTGGATGTACTTTGAGCTGGCTTCCCATAAACTTCCATTGAACAGCCATCCTCTGGTTTAGGTACTTACTACATTTATTTTACTGGGAATGGGTAAAAATATACAAAAGACATTTTGCCCTATTTTATATTATGCTTTTTCCATGCAGATCCTCTGTAGATTCTGGCACAGGTTGCTACTGTGCTTCTAGTTTGACTCAGTACGCCAAGTATTTACTTAACTAGCAAGTGCAATCCAATGTATGTGTCACAACTGACACATCTGAAAGAGTGGAAAACATGCTATATTAATGCATTTGAAAAGTGAAATCTTAAAACTGACTCAAGTCCCAGTTTATGTAGGTACTTTGACATGATTAATTGTAGTCATCCAGTCACATTTGGATCACTTGAACAAGTAATCCCATATAGAGAAGTAGTTACAGGTTTTATGAACAGTAGTGTTTTGGTGTGTTTTTTTTTTTTTTTTTAATTAAAGTAGGTACAAAGTAAAGCTTTTGTATGTACAGGTGATTTATTTATAGGATATGTATTTATGGATTGCACGGCACTAATGCTTTTTGCCTAGATCTTAACTTATACAAGCAAAATTTAGGTACTTCTAGAGTTAGGAGTTCAGTGAGGGCAGAATAGCAGCTTGCTTACAGTGCTGATCTGGTGTTCAAACATACTGAACAGTGAAAGTTATTCGGGTGGTTATCTTCGCAGTTCCATTCACTTCTCCGTGTATTCCTCATCTAAAAACTGTAGTTTGAATAATTACTGGGATGTTTTTGGACTTCAGACAACTGTCCCTGCTACCATGCATACAAAAGCTAACTGATTTTGCCCCAGATTGGGTCAGGCATGGGGCTTGAGGGCGGAGTGGGGAAAGGTCTAGAAACAAATTTCTTTTGTCTGCAACTGTAACCCCAGTCTGATTTCGTAACATTAGAAATAAGCAGAGAATATCCTAACATCAGGTAAGCTTTGAAATAAATGTTTTATAGAATTTCTCTTAGAATGTTTAATGGCCTCAGTGAAGGAGATTTCTTGCAGAATAAATTTAAATTTTGATCATCTGAATGTGATCACCTTCTTAGCGGAAGGTGCATTCACTAGTTCTCATTTCACCTGATACACCATAAATTTGCTGCATCCATCATTGTAGATTTATCTGAAAATGAGTGCACTCTCCAGTTTGACACCTCTCCTTTTTAAAAAGAAGAAAGGAATCCAATTGTATCTTATTTTTGTTAATAAATATCTTAGCTTTTAGTTATATTCACTTGCAATGACAGCCCAAATGAGGAAGTTAAAGTTGACCCTCTAACTGGAATCTGTAGAAGGTTCTGAAGTGCTTGCTGGACTTATCAGGCATCATGCTTGCTGTGAGATTGTTTAGGGGTAACGTATGTTATCTTTGGAAAATGTCAAATACTAACTGAATGTTATTGTCCTTTTAAGGCTTTCCCCATAGTTGCAGCTTGGATGTGATTCCATCTAAAGAAACCGATCATGGGAAAAGTGCCGATTTAAATAATTTTGATGATTTGCGTCGAAGTAGTTTAGGAGATGTGTTTTCTCCAGTCAGAGATGGTAAGTTGCTAACACTGAAATTTGTAAAGTGTCATTCATCCGCGTATAGTGTGACACTTTGACGTATGTGTGTTACCGACCACTGTACCTACTTGGTATTTTAATTTCTCTTTGATTATGAACTCGATGCAATGATATGAATATTGATGTAGGTTTCATTTAATAAACACTTAATTTGTCTGTGTTCTGGTACTTTGTAGATGTTATCACAAGTAAAGCGAATGAAGATCCTCAAGGAAAAGGAGATGGTAAACATACTTTTGGTATATTCTTCTTTGTCAGTGGTAGGCCTTTGGAGGCCTATGCTAGTTCTTACATGCTAATTTTGTCGTACCATTGAAAATAAACAAACACTGAAAGCAAACACTGAAACAAATGAACTTTTCTGGAAACTGTCTAACACATTGAGGTGCTAAGACACAACATGGTAACAGGAAATCCAAGAGTATGGTCCTAAAGTGATTTTGTTTTTCTTTATGAAATTTGTAGTGATATATGGAGGCTTTTCATGCTTTATTATTTTCATAATGACAGTGACAGTGTAAGTTGGATTTAAGGATTTAGTTTTTGTGGATTTTTGGGTGATTTTTTTTATTTATTTGTTTTGTGTGGGTGTGCAGGCACTTTACTTGTGCGTTTGATTTGGGGGGTGGCGTGGTTTTTTGACATGTATGTTTCACCCTTCCCTCTTCCTTTTTAGGTCTGGATTATCAGTCCTACCTTTTGGGTTTGGATTTTCTCCCACAGTTCACCACTGCCTTACCAGTAAAAAGAAGCCCAGTGGGCAGTAGTGCACAAGGGATACGGTCTAGCCCATTACACGCGCTTCTGGGATCTCCGATTAAAGAAGAGGAAGAACATCCAGAGACTGACACTAAGAAAATAAATCTTGGAAAACAAGAATCTAAAGAAGTCTTAAAGCAGGTATACTATACTAATTCTTGTTATGAGTGGTCTTTTTAGAATCTTGACAGAATACTACTACTTGAAGGAAAAATCCTTAATAGCATCCCAGCTAATCTAATTTTGCCACTCTGTTCACACTATTGACACAAATCTGTAAAATGTTGTTTAGTTTAAGTGCATTGGCCTTCAGCAATGCAAGATAAATGTATGTTTCTCTTTAAATAAGCTCAGGTTATAAAAGTTCATACAAAACAAAACTGGGCTAGCTGGAGGAATATTTTGATTTTTCTAGAAAATCAAGAATGATCGTTATTGGTTGCACCAGTATGATTGATTGTCGTTTATTAGGTCAATTCTACCCTCTCTTCTTTCCCTGTTCTCCATGTCCCTCTTTTTCCTTCTTGAGTTATCTTTGATATGCTTCTGCTGAGACCCTGGCTCCTTTTATATTGCTTTTGAGAAGTCTGAGTTTGCTAGGAATGATGTTTATAACATTCGCCACAAAATGTTTGATGTGAAAATTAAGAGGCCCCTGTCCTTTACACTCCTTTCTGTGCACACGCACTTGAGGCAATTTTGAATATTGTAGCAATCAATTTTTAGGATGTCTTGCTAGAAAATGAAAAGCATATATTTGTAAGCAGATTCCTAAAACTAAAAATGTTTGAAAGTGCATTCCTGAAAACTTACTACAATTATCTAGTTGCACTTGAAGACTAAGTAGAGTTCATCCTTTTTTTTTTATTATTTTTATTGTCAGCTTTCAAAATCGAGCTCATCAAGCGCAGAATCTGTAACTTTAAGTCCTCCACCATCATCCACTGCTGTAAAGGCTTCTGATACAAATGAGAGACTAGTGAAGAATATTCAGGCTCATCCTGCATATGATCTACCAGTAAATGGTACTACCTCAATAAGTAAGTTGATCATTTTGGCCCAGCTTTAGGCATGGTTGATTGTCAACTGCTGTGAAACCTGATAAAATGGCCCTAGCGTTAAAACACAACATCCAGTCTTGATTATTCTGTAAATCCAGTGAGCCCTTCTGGAACATCTCTAGTTGCCTCTGAAAAGACTCATTCTAAATCTAATTCTTTTTTTCTTTTTTTTTAAACTACATAACATTTGAGATAAAATATTGACAAGCCTCAAGACAAATAAAAAACCCTGTTGTACTCCATTATGCTGATTTTTAATTTATTATTTTATTTTATTTTTAATTATAAAGGTCCAAAGATAACATCACCTGTCACTGCTGGAGTTGCCAGTTCATTGTCAGAAAAAATAGTAGAAACCATTGGGAGTAGCAGACCAAATGCACCTCTGTCGTCAATCCAAATAAACTTCATTCAGAATATGATACAAGAAACAATGGATGACTTCAGGTACTGGTATTCATGCAGAACATTTTTGTTGTCAATGACGTGTTTTCTTAGTAAGATGTCTTAGCATCTGCTTTAACATACTTTCCGCTTGCATTAGCAAATGACACCATTAATAGCCCTAATCTTGGAAATCTAGTTATGAAACTATTTATTTTGAATAGCTCTGATGACTAATTAGACTGATGTCTCTGAGGGTTGTTAATGCATGGCTTTGCTAACATGTTTTCAGAATGAGTGTTTGAATACTTCTTGGATGGTAAACTTACTTGTGTAACGAAGTCCTTACTGCTTTCATGAAGCCTTGTGCTGATTTCTTTCCCTCCCTACTCATCTTTTGTCCTGGCAGGGGACAAAATTCTCTTAAACTTGACATTGTGGAGAGTTTGATCTAGACAGTTGACTTGTATTGGCTTTGATTGTTGTTAGCTTGGCATGTATAAGGTAAAATACTGTGTGTATTTCTACTGGTGAAGCTTGACATTAAAATAATGTCTGTGCTGGAAGTGATGGCTGGTGTCAGATTACTTTGTATTTGTGGATACCTAACTTAAGATTCCACTTGTCACAAAAGAAGTCAGTCGAATTAGCATGGATTTAGAGTGGAGTTTGAAGGAGGTGGAGCAGTTGAGAGAGTTTTATCTAGGGGATCACTTCCCAACCCATGATTAAGATGAAGTAGGTTGACTGAGATGGTGGAGGGGAAAAGGATTGCTGGGCAGGGGAAGTATTGCTGTCTTGATGACAAAAAGCAATGCAAAACTAACTTAGTAGGTCCGTGTGCTATGGCTGTGTATCTACCAATTTAATGTTATTAAATATCTTTAAGAATATAGTATAGTAAAACTCCTCTGGGATTTTTTTTGGCAATAATCACACCTCTGATTAAAAACTGTAACTTTCACATGACTTAAAATGCAGCCTATGGATTGCAGATGTTTTTTTCTTAAAAGTCTGTGTTCAGGCATCCCAGTGTGGGAAGGTATGCTTGTCAGCCTTGTACTTCCAGTATCTGAGATCTGGAGCCTCAGAGATTGTGTTTCTTTTCTGACCTACACTTCCTGGAGTGGCTGGAAGGGGCTCTGCTGACCCTTTTCCCAGTTGTAAATTGTGGATACATTCAAACTGAGTGTGAAAGAATGTTTGTACTGAGGTCAGTAAGAGGGAAGGGAGCCATTGCAAGCTTCTCGTTGATACAGATACCTTTCACCCTCTGGAATCTCAGGAAAAGATTTTTATTGCTCTTGCCTGAAATCCATTCCTTTTCAAGTAATGGGTTAAAACCAAGGACCTTAGAAAAGGACCGGGAGGAATATGTAACTCATTTGGTTCTAAAAAGCTGCTTGTTTCTTGAACATCCTGTCTTTGGGAGATAGCCTACATCTTTGGGTTTCTGAGCTGCCAGCTGGCATCTATGCTTAATACACCTGAAGATTGTTTGCCTCCAATAGGAGTTCTGAAGCACAGTAACCTGTGGAAATAGAAAGTGAAGAATATATTCCCTTGGGATTTGCTGTATGTTTTAGGAAAGGAGAATGAAATAAGGTCTCTGTGTGTCTACTTCAAGAAATGCCTTACTTTCTCAGGCAGTTGGTACCCATAGCACAGTATTCGGTCTCAGATGATGACACTATGATGTGCTGTTCAGGAGGAGCATATGAGCTTGGCCTGCTTTTCTGTGAGCTGTTCTCCTTGTTCTTTCTCAGCGTCTGGAACAGTTGTATTAGTGCAGTGTTCAGAAGGTATTTCCAAGCTTTGTTCTTGTAGTGTGGAATAGTTGTCCATGAATCGACAAATTCATGTCAACACTGCCACTGCTCTTATGTAGATTAACCTGGAGCATTCTGTGGGCTTGAGGATAGTATATCATTTATCACAGTTGATGTTTTGGGCCCTCTTACAAAAGAGTGCTGAAAGTGACGTACTGAAAAGCTGTATCTTCAGTTACAGTTAAATATCTTTCTCTGCGATACTTGTGACTGAGTGATTGAAAATCAGCTTTGAATGGTAAAAATGGGAGAAGTTTACAGCTTGCAAGTGAAAAAAAACTTGATATCGCCACATTATTTGTATATTTCTAAACAGAAAAGATCCTAAGTCTTTTTGTACACTGAAAAAATGGAACTTATGAAAGTCAATATCACAACAAAAGTATTCCAGAAAATAAGTGGTAGAGGAGTACGTTTCATGGCTTAAAGGTTTTTAGACTCATGTTTCAGTGTCATGAAGGTGAGGAAGTGTGGAGTTCTGGGTGCTGAGGATTGGAGAGAATTACTGCTTCCTAAATAAAACTAAGCATTGTCCTTTTGAATTCTTCCCCCAGAGAAGCATGTCATCGAGATATTGTGAATTTGCAAGTGGAGATGATCAAGCAGTTCCATATGCAGTTGGTATGTACGAAGATCATGGTGGGAAGTAACACTGTTTTAATTTTCAGTAATACCAAGGCATGCCAACTTCTCTCAAAACTGAAAATCAATTTTGCTTATTAAGAGCAAGAAAGGGAGGATTGGATGTGAAGGAAGGGGAAACTGAATTGGAATCCGTTAAACTGGTTTATGCTTAATAAATAAAGGGAAGATATGCATTGGGTAGGTATCATGAATTCGTATTTCAGGAGTTATAAAAAGACAAAGGGAAACAAATTCAACTGTCCTTTGGAAAGCACCAAGAGCTGGGACAAGGAGGAGGTAGATGGAATTCAAATAGAAGGCTTCACTTATAGGTACTGCATGCATACTGAACTGTGTTCTGTGTTCTTTAACTTCACCTTTTATGAATCTTTGTTCTTTTGATCTGCATTAATAATACCTTGTCTCAGTACTGAAGATTTTAATGGAATCTGCATTAGTAGATTCTCATCCTGAAGAAGTGCAAATTATCCTTTGATAAAATATTCACTAATGTATTAATGATCAAAATACTGTATGTCAGCATAAAAAAAAAATCTTACTTTTCTTATCAAAAGCTTTTAAAACCAGTATTATCTAGGTTATTTAATTTTCAAAAGGGATATGAAAATGGATAGTCTAAAACTGGAATAATTAACTTTATAGCTGCTGATTGGGGCTTTTTTCTTTTCTCTAGAATGAAATGCATGCTTTACTTGAAAGATACTCTGTAAATGAAAGCTTAGTAGCTGAAATTGAGAGACTACGAGAGGAAAACAAAAGACTGAGGACTCACTTCTGAAAGATATACACTGCTAATTTTATTAGCATGAAGTCACTACAGGTGGTGTGTTGCTTATGACAGATCATCCATCATCACTGAAGTATTGCATGAAGACATGCTATTATTTTGAACATGAATCTTCTTCTAAATAAATGGTGTAAGATACTATATGTAATTATAAAATTTCTAACAGATAAACACCATATAAAGAACGTTTGCATACTCATGCTAACCACCTTGAAATGCATCCTTCTAACAGAAAAACTAAAAGGATTAAGTACATTATCAGAGTTTTAGCAATATGTGAAGTGCCTTTTTATAAACAAAATCAAACGAGGACGGATGCCTTTTCTGTAAGAACTTTTTGATATAGCTACTTTTCTATCTGCTTCTTTATTTTACTGCTGTCAGAAACAATCACTGTAGCTTGCCTTTCAGATACTTTTCCTGGAGAAAAAGGGGAGAGAAAGCTCATCTTCTGCATAATGTGGAGCCTTGTTTATAAGGAGCTGGAAAGTACAGTATTCGGTTAACTTTACTCAACTGTCAAATCTTCTATCCCGAGTAAAACTAAAGCTTGAAAATGTTCCTAAATTCAGTGCCATGATCTTTCTTATTACATTTGTAAGAAATTTGTGCTTGTCTGCTGTGAACTTTGTTGCAAAAGCTAGTTCAACTGCACAATCAGATTTTTGTTACAACTTTAGCTATGAAACTAGAATCCTTTTTATTACGTTTGAATATTGTCATAGCTTTGTCCAATTTGAATGCACCTTTAGACTTCAAAATATAAGTATACTCAGCCATAAATAATATAGCATTGTGTAAATGCTGTCTTTCAGTCTTTGACTCACACATATTTTGTGCCCCCCCTTCCTTTTTATCGGTAGTGGACAACACTTAATATTGAGCAGTTGTGTTGTAGTTTTGAATCTTCTTGGTTTAGCATTATTGTAGCCTTTTTGAGATAGCTGCATACCAAATCTAACTAGTATCTTAGTTGTATGATTAACATAACACACATTAAAGAGAAATCATTACTCCAGTAGCATAACGGTATCATACTTGTGTGTAAACATGTCTGAAATGGAGCTCAGTATGAAGCCCTGACTCTGCTGAAGTTCATGGCACAAATAAAGGCCGAGCCAAACCTCCCAAGAGATTAAATGAAATTAAAACTTCAATTTAAATTCATTTAAAAATTAAATGTTTAAATTAAATGAAAAATTTATCTGAAAGACTTCTTCTACAAGTGCTTCTTGCTATTTAAATTGTTCTGGAGGCTTCTTAATTTTCCCACTAATATTTCGTCATTTCTTTTCACACAATCATTAAAACTCAAACAAGGAAAGTCTGAGAACATGGTGAGTTTATTAGTTACAACATCTAGTGTTTAAATCCATGATGGCACTCTTCTGCTAAATGAGAAAGCCATAATATATAGTGTAACTTATTTTTATATGTTGTAAAACTAAAAAAAAAAAGAAACCCTATCTATACCTTTTCCCTCTCTTCAACTTTTTAAAAAAAGGGACTGTTCCTTTTTTTTCATGTTGGTTAATGGCAAATACAATCTTGTAAGAAAATGAGGGTGTTCAAGTAGTCTTTTAATATTAGGGACAGGACTTGAAATGTCTGCATTTCTACTGCTTTTATAAGCTTTTGAAAATATGTCTATGTTCGCATGTAACTTCACTGTAAAAGGAAGCAAAGTAAGTTAAATTTTTTTAGTAACAACACACAATGTAGAGAACTGTTTATATTATAAGTTCATAGGATATGTAAGCTTGACACATTGACCACATGGTTCATGAAGACAACAGTAGTTGAAGGTAGCAAAAATATCTTACAGTTCTTCTGTGTGCTTTGCAGTGTTAATGAAGTAACCTTGCATATTTGCATCTCTTGATTTGTTCCCCAGGTGCTCTTGCTAGTATACCCAGATGACAGCAGGGAATTAGACAAGTATCTTGGTTATTTGGCTTGTAAATAATTTGTTTTCTTGACTCAGAACTGTATAGTGTTTTTATTAATTCCCAAATGGAGGTGATGATAGCAAGAGTGATTAAAAGGAGACATTTTGGCTTTTTTTTTTTTAAACATTGTTAGGCCTTTTTTCCATCTCTCAGGATTATTGTAGCAGAAGTGGCTACACAGGCTCTGTGGAGACCCAATATGCCTACCACTGTAGGGATATATTTTGCCTTGTACACAAATCTGATTTGTACGTTAAAATAAAGCTTGTTTTAACCTTTTGGAAAGAAAAAAATGCTGTTGTGACCTACTTTATGAAGGGAATGATCTATATTGTAATTGTTCTACCTCAGCAGGCAAGAGCCTGGGCCACAGAGATAGGTAGAGATCTACCAAAAATTCTGCAGTAATCTCTCTTCTGCCTCTGTGGCTTCACATAGACTGTCACATCCTTTTCACAGAAATGTTCACATTACCTCATGCTTTTGGAGTAAAGAACAGATGTACAGTTCCCCCTTCCAATGTGGAAACTGTTACAGGCATGACAGAGATCATATTCACAGCTAAAAATAATATTCAAGCAGATGTTTTGGGTGGGGGGAATAATTTTGTCACCTAAGCTCCTGGTGAATTGGAGATCCTGCATCTTCCTAATACTTAACTTACGGATGCTTCTTTTTTTTTAATTCCCTTCTCTCTATCAGACTTGGTGAACAGGATGTTTATTTGCAGTTTCAAGGTGTGTAGGCTTTGAAAACTGATTTTGACTGATTTTTTTTTCTCATAAAAATGCAAAATGCCAGCATATCCTTACTTCCTGGCAACAGCCTACCAGTGCCTGATACATGTGCTATGCTGTTCATAAACACCACAACAATGGTGAATTTGGAAGTTGCTCACTACCCCTTCTATACAAGGAACAGGATGTACGAAAAGGAATAAAATGCTTTACAGACTGCATCACCAAACTGTAAGTTCCCTGCTAGCAGATAGCCTGGATATTAAAACTTAAGATGAAAAACAGTTGCAGATTATTTGGATATAAAGGTAACATCTGATACTGCTGGATGCTTAAGACTGACAGGTGACGTGCTGTATGCCTGCCCACACCAGTGTGTTTGTGCCTGCGTGATCGTTACGGGTGCGCGTCAAGAGCTGCATCTTCTGGTCTGGCTCAGTACGGCCATTTTCGCGTTGTCTCTTGCAGTGCATGTGGGGGATGATGATTAACAAATTCTCCAAGAACAAACTATGGAAAGAATCTCATACTCTTCCTTAAGCATCCCGTGCCAGGCACTGGCAAAGATAAGATACAAGGCTAGAGGGACAAGAATAAAAGATTCTGAAGTGCTTTCAAGATAAACTGTGAAATTAGCTGTGAGTCTGGATGTCTCTTTGTATGCAAGAAAGTACAGACAGTGCCTGTGTTCTGACAATTCGCGTTTCATACTTGTCTCTGGCACAGCTATAGTACAAGGAAACAGTGGAATCATACTCAATGAAGATTTCAAAAGTCATTGTAAACACATCCTTTTTAGTTCATTTTGGCAGTCCAAACAGTGATATATTGGTGGGACTAGGAGCCATGAGAAACAATCATTCAGGTGTGGACAATGATCTGTCATATCTAGTATCGTGTCTGCATCAGTTGCCAATAACACTTTCTGCTAAATAGTCACTTTTACTGAAGTTACAGGCTCATATGAGATGTTTTCGTTTCTTGCTGGAGAAAGCTAGCCTATGGTTAGACTGCATACCTAGCGTTTTCAAAATAAACTGCCAGAAGCTTTTTTGAGGCAGTGCATATAATAAATAAACTGGATTTTCAAGAGCATCTGTATGAGATGGGGGGGGTGATGACATAAGAAAAATTATTCTTGGTCCAGAAGGCACCTCAGATTTGACAGCAAGCTTAGAAACCTCCACTAAATCTGCAGAAACTTCCAGGTTATTCTCTCTTCACCTGGATTTAGACAACTGGCAACTAAAGGAAAGGGAAGCGAAGCGTAGACCGCTGATACTTATTCCCTAGCCTCGCTGGTACTTAAAATGCTCAGACCTAAACTCAAGTAGAAAGTGTCATTCCATCATCTGGATAAACTGTATCAGGGCTGGAGTTGTCTGGTGGAGCAACAACTGCCCCTTTTCTTTGGGCTGTGCCCATCTTGAAGCAGGTCTGGTCTCCAAATGCTGGTGCAGCATAAACAGTAATGCCCAGAGTGTTTTGGGGCTCCTCTGTGTCAGAATTCTCTAAGTGGCTGGCTTGGGGCTCTAAAATCGTCTGATTAGTGTCCTAAGCCACCCACTCTCCACCACATCCTAGCACTAGCGGTTCTCACACAGAAACAACTTCCCAGCTTTGTATCACCTGCTGTTCCACATAGTCACTCCCCTAGCTGTAGACGTGACCGCCTTGGGAGGGAGTTTAAAACTCTCATGATACTTCTGAGGATCACATGAAACCTGTTCTAGCTGTAGAAACTTCTGTTGTTCTTATTAGCAGAATATTGTTCTCCCTTAGTCCTAACAGGTGCAAGTTGCAGCACAAACGGTTGTGCTTTAGGCTCTACATCTCTCTTGAATTCATCATTTGTCCTCACATTCTAGCTAAAAATATCAAGGCTCATGCAATTGAAAGTTATTATGGTTCCCATCCAATTTCTTACACTACAAAGTTCTGTCTCTATATGGAAATTACTGAGAGACAATGCTTTTTCAGCCTATTATTTTGCAAGAATGATAATTCTGATTTATTCTTTTCATCCCTACTTGTCCTCTGAGTAATGAAGAAGGAAAGAAATTACACAGAGAAAAGGACACATGAGAAAAGAACACAATTTCCTATACAGGTTATTTACATATGAGTGCCTATACAGGTTATAAAACCACCTATTAGCTAACAAGAGGGCAGAAATGCTTCAGAATTCATTTTTAAAAATTAGTGCTATAAATAAATACTAGCGCTCGGTTGCGTTACTATAGCACTGCTTACCAGAATGGCTGACTACCCAGAGGTGTCCAGCTGGAGATATTTTTTATAATTATCAAGTCACAGAGGGTGAGCTGTGTTTTCTGCATAGCGAGTTCTTCGTATTTCTGCTAGGTCTCAGACCGTCCAATCAGAAATTAGAGCAAACAAACCCAATTAATCATTTTTTGAAAGTTTTGGGCTAAGTAGATGGAATTGTCCCTCTAATTTCATAGCTTTTAAACTCAAGTACTTCTGGTTTTATGCTGTTCTAGCTCTCATCAGTGAACTTCCTTATTGGTCAAAATGCTGATGCAATTTGTTATCCAAGTCTACCTGAATAAAGAAAATGATGCAAGATCTATCTAATGCCTTAACAGAGAGCTTTTGTCTGCTACTTACTATCATCCACTCAAGTTTTAAATTTCCAACATTACACGTGTCTGCAGAATTGTCCTATAG